CTGACCGTCCTGAAGAACCACAATTAAGCAAGCTGTAGAAAAAGAAAATGTATCTCCAAATTATAACAATCCTTCTACGTCCATAGACAATACTACGCCTTCTATGTATGAAGAAAATATCGAGTTTTCACTTGAAATCAAGCCTTTTTCAAAGGCTGGTCCGAGAAAACAGACTCAAGTCAAGAGGAAGAAAAGAAGAGCAGCAATTTTAACCTCTACCCCTGAAAAAAATATTCTTGCTGCAGAGCAGAAAAAGAAAAAGATAAAAAATGATGCAAAAAAGATAAAAGTAAGCAAACACATTTTGACATCAGATCTTAAAGATGAGGAATATTATTGCCTTGAATGTGGAGAAGCGTATTCTGAGAGCTTGTCTGGAGAACAATGGCTTCAATGCCGCAATTGTAAAGGTTGGGCTCATTCAAAGTGTACTTCTAGTACAATATTTGTTTGCATTAATTGCAGTAATAATTAAGTTTAAAGTTTAAAAATAATTTTGAAAAATGTATTACTTTTTACTAACAATAATGCTCTATTGTCGCTTTATATGTATGTGTAAGAATTGAACTTTAAGTTTATTTGTTCTAATAGAAGAGGGAATTCCTTTTTGGAGATTAATTTTTGAGAGATTAATTTTTATATTTTGTTATATATTTAATATTAAAGATATATTTTATGCATAATCTTTATCATGAAAATTTTTATTTCATTTTTGTTCTTTTCATGTATATTTACAAAGAAAATACAGATTATAAAAAGAAGTTATAAATTATAATAAAGACTGCGTTAACTAATTCTGCAATTGTTTAAATTATACAATATAACCTTAATACACATCTTAATTACCTTCATGGCTCAACTTGCCCTTCAGAGTTGCCCAATATACCCCATTGGTGGGGCATATTGATCCACTTTGCATCCTTGCAATTAACGTAATTTCTTTCTAATTTACGAGATATATTAAGGGTTTATAAGTACTTAATTGTTGAGGTAGATAAACATGCAACGTTTTAAAGCATTTACCATTAGTCTATCATAATTGTGTGAAGATTTATAATAATTTAAAGAAAAAGTGGCTCAACTATCCCCGCCCTACCCTACCCTAATGAATTCTCGCAATTTGTTAATGCTATAAAACGACACCCTCATATGATCGCTCCTTAATCTATTAAACTTCTCAGTAATACCTCGAACGAAAGGAAGCGTAAACCACGAAGGCTGCACTACATCCACGCTATTCTCCCTAACCACATTTTTTCTATTACTAGCCATGATAACGCTCTTCAACCGGTTGCTAATGTTCTCAAATATAAGGTCAAATGGATAATCATTCCCTAACAATACTTTAATTATGAAACCAAAGTTACTAAAGTGAAATTTGGGATTCGAAAGCAGAACTACTCTATCAACTAATCCCGCGACTGTGCCTATTTTTTGAGAAGCCGGCTTTACTAACGTCCCTATTGATTACGCGATGGAGTGTATCAAGGACCATTGGCGTTTTATCTGTAAAGATTGCTGTTTGTCGGAGGAGGAATTTATTAAAGCAGTACAGTTTGTCTTAGATTCTACTTTCTTTGTGTTCGATAGTGTTATATATAAGCAGAATTATGGTACACCCATGGGTTCACCGTTGTCGCCTGTCATAGCGGATTTAGTTATGCGAAATTTGGAGTGTAGAGCCTTGTCTTCGATTCGATTTCCGTTGCCTTTTTACTATAAGTATGTGGATGATATAATTATGGCGGCCCCAGATTCTTCGGTTAATTACATCAATATATTATTCAGATAATTGAATATGATTGACTCCAAAGATAATTTTGAACGACAAAAAAATTTATAAGGATCATTTTGTCGGGATTGTGGTCTAAAATTTGTTTAATATATTAATTTAGTCTAGTTTTAGTCCATTGCATCCTAAAATGGGCGTTTTAAAAAAGTCTGAAACAATAACATTAGATATTTTTAAAACGTTTTTAAAATATCCATGGATCAAATCTGGATGTCTTTAATATGTCCAAAACGTCCAACATGTACGTCTTAAACGTATTTTTAAAACGTTACTGTACCGTCTAGGACGATAAACAATAAATGTGCAAGATTACAAACTCAATACGTAGCACTATTTCTTTAAACAAAAGGAATTTTTTATACTAAAGAAAACTTTTCAAATTGATTTCTTAATTAATTACAATTAAAAAAGGACGTTAAAATTGATCTTTTCTCCATATAATTTTAAAATTGAATCATTATTTATAAATCGACGTTAGTCCAATGTTATCCTAAATATTAAACAATGCATGTTGATTCAATGATTCCGTAAAAGAGTGTAATTATTACTTAATGAGTTAAATGATATAAAAGATATTGCCATCATAAATAGTGGAGTAGTAACACCGATTCTGACCCAGGTCCTCTGAGGGGGGTGAGAGGCAGAGGGGGTCCCCGCGGCGCGGGGGGGTCCGCGGAGAGGGAAGGGGGTGACGTCACTAGGCGAGGGGCTGACGTCACGGGGAGGGGGAGGGGATGATGTCACAATGGGTGACGTCACTAGGCGAGGGGATGACATCAGGGGGGAGGGGGTGACGTCACAGTGGGTGACGTTACAGTGTGAGGGGATTGACGTCACGGGGGAGGGAATGAGGATGACGTCACAGTGGGTGACGTCACAGGGTGAGGGCTTGATGTCACAGGAAGGGGGATGACATCACGGGGGAGGATAACAACGTCACGAGGAGGATGACGTCACAAGATGTGGAAAATTC